AGGGAACTGGGACTGCTGCTCTTTCTATTTAAAAAAACAAACAAACCCAACCACCAAGAATGCTTCAAGCAAAAGCCTTAATCTTAGGTCTCAGCTGCATGCTTTGTCTCACATGTCGGCACTAATATCCACATATCCAAATAATCTCAGCTGATTTATAGAAACACCTTCAGAAACCCACCCATGGACCAAAGGCAGAGAGTGAGAGGGGTGGGGTGAGGGGATCTGGGGAGGATTCTACAATGGGGAACAGAAGAAAGGCAGAACCTCTCCATTACGGAACCAGCCATTTGCGCAGCGCGAGGCCTGTAATTATGGTGACTGGTTAATCTGCTAATGACTAACTTGCCAGGATTGTGTTTGCGTTGGGTGTCACCCAGTGTCTGGGGGGAGCAGAGCAGCACCTTATTTCGCCAAGGGAGGAGGGTTGTTATGGAAACGCTTCTTGCAGCGCATGGGGCAACGCCAAGGAGCCGGGGAAAGGAAAGGCCATTTTTGTTCTTTCGGCGGGCCAGGGGGACAGGTCTGGGTAGGGGAGGCTGATTTATGCCATTCATCCTCTTTGTAAACTCAGCCCCACTATGCAGGCTTTGCGCTAACGGTGCGGCCCGAGGCGACTCCTCATGAGCTTCGGGGCCCCCCTTCAGTAGTTAGTACGGTTCGCTCTCCAGTGCCGCCCAGGCAAAGGGTGGGAGGGAGTCACAGGCTGCGGCGGGATGTGAGGAAGGGAGCGAGGTCTGCACCAGTGCCCCTTGAGCCTGGCCTCTGAGGGAGAGTCGCTCATCGGGTGACTAATTCCCATGGAGCGGGAGGCATGGAGTGAAAAATCGCCCCTTAAAAATATGGTCCTGATTCTCGTGGTTTGACACCATTGTCGCACCATTGAGGTCAGTGGCATGGGAGTGATTTCCTGATTTGCAAGCGGGAAACAGAAGACAGAGACAAAGAGGCGTGTCTCTCTCTCCATCCCCATTCCTGCCCCCAAAGATACTGTGCTTTATAGGTACACTGGGACTTGGGACTCCTTCTTTGTTTCAGGGCTTTGCCCGATCACAAGCAGGGAGCAGAGGGGGTTGCCTACCACACGTTTGGGCTTTGTTGTTACAGGTTCTGTCCAGCATGGTCAGATTTGGCTTTGATTAACAGTACAAAGCTCGGAGGGAAGCTGCCGACGTGGCTTCCTATGATCAGGAGGGCAGATTTTAGGGGTGAAGTGGTATTTTTAAAAAAAGGAGGCATTCAGAGGGTGTCAATTTGGCCAGAACCTGCTCTCTTTCAAGAGTGTTATAAATTAATCAGAATGCCAGATTTTTTTTTTTAAATCTGCTGACTAATAATTGTATGGTAGGTTCCAAAGGACTAGACGTTTGCAGGCCTCCCAGATCCCTTTGCATTAGCGATGACTAAGTGCAGGGTCTTTATGACGGAGGCAGGTGTTCTTACCAGGTCATGATGGCTCGATTCCAAGGTGGGCTATTCCATTCCGCCTTCCTCGAATTATCCGGGCTTTCCAGCTGGATGCAGGGCACAGCTTGATTTCCACAGCTGGCAGCATTGCTGTGTGCTGTTGAAAGGAGCCACCCCGTTCAGCCCCAGAGGTGGCTTTATTTCAGTGGCCAATGAAGATACTTGCATATAAAGGTGCCATTGAACAGGGTAAAATGCTGGTCTCATTGAAGCCTATGTAAGTTTTGTCACTGACTTCCCAGGGGCCACTATTCAGTCTGTGCTGTGCAAAATGCTTTGGGACTCTTTTGAATGAAAGATAAGGATGGCTATTTCGTACCTGTAATACGCTAGCAGCCCCAGTCCCTGCCCCGCCCCACCGGGCCGGGTGCTGAACAAACCTAGCTGGGGAAACATGCCCCCCTACCCCAAGATACGCTGTAGAAACAGGAGATGATGGGCAGGAAGGGGATAGTGGGGTAGGCAGGTGCAGGTCGGAACAAGGACAGAGCAGAGCTATCAGGGCTGTTGCAGCCTTAGGGGGAAAGGCCAGCAGAGTGGCTCAAGCTTAGGACTCTGGACAGCTGGCATCAAGGATTGTTTTGCCACAAACTCCCTGGGTGACCTTGGCCCTCATTGTGCCTCACTTCTCCTCCTGTAAAATATGGACATAGCCCTGCCTCCCAGGGAGGTTATGAGGATTGAAGGTGGCAAGGTGCCCGGGTGATATGGTAATGGGGGGTCAGATACGTACCAGCTCCAGTGGAGAGTCCGAGTCTCACAAGGTCCTCACTGAAAGTACTAAACCCTTGGCGGGGTGGGGAACATTTTCGAAAGTGTCTAAGTGGCTAGGTGCATAAGGGCTTGTCTACACCTGGAGCATCTCAGGAAGAGCTATTCAGGAAGGCCGCCACGGGTGGACGCTCGTACTCACTTTGGCAGTGCGGCAAGTTCAACAGCGCCACCATATTTCTAGTCCGGAATAAGAGGCTGGCGTTCACAAAGGGGACTTGTGCATCCAACTGCCCCATTTTGGAGCTGCATGGAAGGCCCTTGGCACCGACATTTTAAGTCCTCAAGGTGCCAAAATTGTCAGTTTTTCAACAGAAACCCCCTCCCACAACGAAATTCCAGTTTTGGATTAAAACCACCTCTCAGAACAGAAAAACGTGATGGAAACCTGACAATGCATCACCAATAAGGGCTGCAAAATATTGTTTCTTTAGAATTTTTTCATGGGAAAAACCCTTCCCAAGCCGCTCTACTAAGCCCCTGACTTTGCTTTCGGGAGCGAGGCACGCTGTTCAGATGTGTCATATTTTTGAGTGACTCGAAGCCTGGTGAAAGGACAGCCCTGCAGGTGAAAGGCTCGTCGATCACAGAGCAGGGCAGTGGTTGGGCATCGACCGCCCCATGTGCCTGGAGTGGACAGGCAGCCTGGCAGATGGGCCCCATTCTGCCCTGGTGGGGGTGGTGCCATTCAGTGCCACGGATGGTTTTTATGAGGTGGAGATGGGTCCACTAAGAACTGGACGAAACCCACCAAGTCACAGGCCCTCCCCCAACAGCCCTTGGATGGGCTGTGTGAGGTAAGGAGGGTTCAGGAGGGCCAGCCTGGACTCCTTCTCCCCCAGCAGCTGCTTAATGCATCCTGCAGTGGGAAGTTCCCTCACAAGGTTTTTTCCTCCTTTATCTGGGCATTTTGAAGCAGTGCTAAAAGCAGAGGCCTGGCCTGGTGCTGTGCTCTTCATGGTGTCTGCATTCAGTGTGCGAGCAGGGGAAGTGTAGGGGTTGGGGTCCTGGCCCCCTATAGCCAGCGTCCCCAGCTTGGGTCCTGCCTGCTAGCCTTGTCAGCCAGGCCCTGCTCTGCAAAGCTGCACAGCGAAAACCACCTCACTCAGGTTTGGGGTTGGCTGGCTCTGGGGCTGCTGTGGTGATTTGCACCCATGCACACTGGGTGTGAAATGCCACAAAGTTGGAACTGCAGCGGTTTCCCCCTGGGCTTTACAGTTTTGAGTGATGACCCAGGGTGCCAAAAAGAGCCAACTGGGGCCTGCCTCTTGCCCTGAACGAGGCCACTTGCTTTGCCCCTGCCTGCCTCACTATCTGTACATGGGCTAATGCTCCTGCTTCCCTCTCCCTGGGGAGCAGTGAGTTAATTTGCATCGGAAGAGGCTTGAGTCACATGTGTTACAATTATTGTTACAAAAATGAAGCAGGGGCAGAATGGGGTTGCTGGGGGGGAACCTTACCCTTGTGGGGCCTGGCATGCAGCTGACAGGGGAAACCCCGAGGGGCCGTCATAGGCGCAGGCTGGAGAGGGCCCTACTGGTTGCAGCTGGAAGAGTTTCTGGTTGGAGCAGCGAGGCACTGTGCTGTCATCCACCCTAGGGACCAATTGCTGCACTGCCTAGAGGTGGGATTTTAGCTTGTGATGGGTCTTTTTCAGGTCTCTGATGGCCCCAGGGGCTTGTGATCTCAAGGGAAGGGTGCTGGGGCAGGTGGGTGTTCCAGCCTCAGCACCCGGGTCATGGCTTGAACTTTCCTACCCTTCATCCACCCGCCTCGCCTCTTCCAAACACGTGCTGGCCTAAGGCCTCAAACAGCAGCTGCTGGACCCAGCCAGCCGCCGAGATGCTGCATCCGTAGGACCCAACGTGCCCACACCAACCCCAGCTGTGGCAGTCAACAGCCTTGATCCCCTTGCAGAGAGGCTGGCTCCCCATCAATTCCAGCAGCTTCTCTCCTCCCACCAGGGATGATTGCTGCATGGCCTCGCACAGCCCCTACATCATGCCAGAAAGGGTTGGGCTGTAACATGGGGGCAAACCAGCCCCTCTGAGCCCCCGCTCCCATCCCATCCCGCTGTGTGGGATACACACCATCTCGCTCTCTGGGACATCGCCACTGACACAACCCCGGCAGGGGATGAGGAGGCAGGGGGCAAACTCAGTGCCGTGGGAGTCAGCTCCACATGAAGGTTCAGCCTTGGCGTGGTGGCAAATTCCCAGCCAGCTCAGGGGCTGCAGTGCTGCAGTTAAACAAGCAAAGGTCTCGTCTCTCCTCCCCCAGGAAAAGAAAGAGTCTGAAAGCTCCCCCCTCAGGAGCAACACACACCATCCAGTCTGAATGCTGTAATTAATTCAGGGTACAACCCACCTGTAGTAACAGGGGAAGCCTGCATTACCTCACCATTTTTGCAGTAACCATTTGTTTAACTTTAAAACACAACCGCCCCCCCCCCCCAGCTGTGCTTTCTGTTCGCCTAGCATCCCCTCACTGTAACCCTCGGCTTCCATGCTCGGCCGTTGAGCAGTGCGCTGGGTGTTGAGCCGTCTTGTTTTTTGCTACTGGTTTCTTCCCCCACCCCCTACCTGCTGTATGTACGTATTAAGGATGTTATTTTACTGGGGCACTGGACAGTATTAAAATTAAAGCTGTGTAAATAGGAAGCAGGTCTCTTTATTTTTCCACCCTGCTAAAAAGGACTGCATGGCCAGTTGGAAGTGGTGGCCAGGGGTGGAGGGGGGAGGAGAGAGCCAGCAGGGGATAGGGAGGGGTTTTCATTTAATATACAGAGCTGGTTGGTTCCCCAGCTGGCTTGAGTTGGCGGCGATTCACAGGCACAGCATCTTGCTCACCAGGGAAAGGGTGGACTTAGGGTTAAGGCACAGGCTTGAAGATCTGGGTTTAATTTCCAACTTTAACACAGACCCGCCCCCGCTTTCCATGCCTCAGTTTCCCCAGCCATAAAACAGGGATAATACTAACCTCTCACACCATGGCTGTGGTCAGGCACTCGGATACTCTGGCCAGAGAGACCAGGCACGGAGCTGGGAAAACCTCAGCTTTGAACCCAGCTCTAGTCCCACATACAGTACACCGGGGTGGTGCAGCACCTCTCGAGGGCTAGCTGGGCTTCCCAGGGAGTGCAGATGCTCCCCCCCACCGGGGAGGTGATGTGGGGAATGTTTAGAGGCTCCTTCCGCTCTGTAATCACTACAGGAGACAGCAAGTGCCGCTCAGGGCAGGGAAGCTGCTCACCACCCAGCTGTCCCTTACCCCAGTTCCAATTTCCAAGAGCGAGTTGGTCTGGCCAAGGCTTTAGCTTAGTTACAAGACACGGCTGTGGTATCAGGTGGAGCCAGTGCACCCACAACGTGATGCCCCCAAGGCGTGCGCACACACACCCCAGACCGGACCGGACGAGGTTTCACTTTATTTGAAATCAGCAGCAGGAAGCGTGATGTAGGGACGCAGGCAGACAGTTTGCATGCCAGGCCCGAGAGGGAGAAGGACAGAGCTGAAGCCTCTATAAGAGAACAAGTATGCGGGGGGGGGGGGGCGCTTGCAGGGGTTTGAACCAGCAGTGCCCAGATGGATGGCTGAGGCACATGCGGCTGGGTGAGTGAGCTGATCTCTAACCTGGGCAGCCACTAGGGGTCAATACAGGGAAGGGGAGATGGACAGGCAAGCTTACAGATGATGCAGTCACAGGGCTTGGCCCTAACGTAGATATTTTTTGATCCACCTCTTGTATTTAAAGACCGCCGTTGCGACGGGCGGTTTGAACACGTCGATACAGCTTTTGCCCGCGAAGGAGAGCACGCCGGCCACCTCCGCTTTCTTGCCACACACCACAGGGCCCCCGGAATCACCCTGCAACAGCACAGAGTACACGGCGTCCGTTAGCCTGGGAGGGCCCCTCGCAGCACTGGGAGTGAGGGGCAGGAGCATGGAAGGGCCCAGGGGTGGGCACAGGCGGTGGCACCAAGCAACAGAGAGGATAGAGGCAGCGGGGCACATTGCACAGGGCAGGCACGAGGGTTATTCTAGGACTGGAGCAAACCAACAACTTGCTGTGCTGGTAAAAGGGGCTTGACTGACAGCCCCAGAGACCGGAGTCCTCTCTCCACAGAGCGGGTGCAAAGTAGGGTGAGCGTCCCACACGCATGCCCCAGCAGAGCTTGGCCCTGACCTAGGGGCAAATCTCCATGGCCCATTCAGTCTTTGGCCTCTCTGCCAAGCCTGCTACCAAGGGCTTCAAAGACCTGGGGAGACCCTGGCCAGCAGCTCCCTGCACCTCACTTATCCTCGCCTGCCAAAAAGGATCAAAGCCTCCGGGATGGAAAATTGGACAGGATTCCCAGGGAGAATACGTGGCCAGACCCCCGAGCATCCCTGTCAGCAAAGGGCTGGAGCACCCACGGAAAAGATAGGGGGTGCTCAGCACCCCGAGGTGGGCCCTGCCCATCAGCTCCTCTCCCTCCCCACCCAGAGCCTCCTGCCCACGGCTGATCAGCCGTTCAGCAGCAGGCAGGAGGCACTGGGGGGGGAGGGGGGAGCAGGGAGAGGCGGAGCGAGGGCAGGGCATACTCAGGGGAGGGGCAGGGCAGGTTCTTTAGTATCTTAGCTCTGTCTGGGGCCCCCTCGTCAGGCACTGCCATCTCCACACATGCTCGAGAACAAGCAGCTAAGCACGCAGGCCTGGCAACGAGGCCATCCCCCTTGCACACAGCCAGCTGGGGACTCTTCCCCATCAGCCCCTTCTAGACCAGCATTGCTGTTAAGCCATCACCTTGCAGGGGGCAGAGCCCTTCTCGACCCCTTCGATGCACATCATGGCACCGGTGACCTTGCCATGCCAGTACCGGCTGTTGTTGCACATCTTGCTGTCCATCACCTTGACGTTGAGTTCGCGCAGGACGGGGGAATACTCGCTGTTTTGTCTGAAAATCCCCCAGCCAGCCACGCTGCACAGCGTCCCCAGGGCCGGCTTCTTCTTGGACAGCGGGAGAAGGCTCGTCTCCTTGTTCCAAGCCACCTTCCTGTCCAGCTGCAGGCAGGAGCGAAAGCCAAGGTCAGACCTTGGGGACAGACTCTGCCAGCCTGCAGAAAGGTTCCCAGCCCTAGCACCACTGCGGTCCCCCGAGCTGCTTCCATCTCAGTGGAGATGCCTCCAGCTTCTCCTGCAGGCTGCGGCCCAGTCCCGGGCTCGCTGGGGGTCGGGGGGGAGGAGGCGGTGACTTTGTGCCATTGATACAAAGAGCCCAAATGTGACTCTTTTCATCACCAAGTTCTATAGTGACCTAGGTAGGGGGGATGGGGAGATGGTCTGTCTTAAGCAGGGGAGTCCACAACCCCAAGGAGGTTTGAGAAACACACGGAGACTGACCCCCACTATCCAAGCCTGGCCAGTCTCAAACAGCCAGGGCTCCAGCCCTCTCCTAATGCCCCTTTGTGCCACAGGGCTCCTGGGAGAATTCCCCCAAACAGGGGCAGCGTGCACCGCCCCCCTTGGCGGACGCTGGTGCGGGGAGTGCAGAGCAGCCCCTAGGCGGCCAGATGCCTCGGTGACTGCTCTAACTCCCACGAAAGGCTGCACCAGCCCCACCTCGAGCAGCCCAGAATCTAGGACTCACCGAAGTCCGTGTCCGCCCCCCACCACCCAGGCTGCACCTTCTAGGCTGCTTCCTGAGAGGCCAAGCCCCCAATCCAGCCCTAGAGGAAACTGTGCAAGCCAAGAAACTGAGGGATAGTGGGAAGGGGGAGGAGGAATGAGAATTCCTAGCTGTTGGGAAGCAGCTGAGGGACAGAAGGAAGCATCCTTAGCTCTGTTAGAGGCCAGACTCTGGGAAAAACTTTACCCCTCAGCAAAAGCAAGGCCAGGCTGCACACCTACCAGCACCTCAGAGGCAAGGGTGTGAGCTGAGAATGACTCAAGACCGGCTAGAGAGCCCTGCTAGCATTAAAGATTTCCTGTACGGGTTAGGCAGTTTGTCACTTCTGAATCTCACCTTTCTAGCCACAGCAGAAGAGGGCTCCAAAGAGACCCCTCCCATCCCCCCTTCACCCCACTCAACCTTCCACCTACCGTGAGATGGAGGAACAAAGGAAGGAGTAAATCGTATGCAGTGCTGAATGCCCCGGCTTGCCCCTGAGGGTCCTAACACAGCGCTTTCCATCCGCAAAAGAAATACTGATATCATTAGCAGCATGGCCTAGTGGCTAGAGCACGGGCTGGGACTCAGGACACCTGCGCTCTAGTCCTGCCTCTGCCACTGACCTGCTGGGTGACCTTGGGCAAGTCCACTTTTAACCTCTGTGTGCCTCAGTTTCCCCATCTGTAAAAGGAGCTTGACAACTCTGCTCTCCTTTGTAAAGTGCTTTGAGATCCACTGATGATAAGAGCTAGGGACTATTACTACCTCCATTTTACAGATGGGGGAAACTGAGGCAGGCAGAGGCAACATGATCTGTCCAAGATCACACAACAGGAAGAGCCAGGATTTGAACCCACTCCACTGCCCTAGCCTTATGGTCAGATGCTGCCGCCTCATAGGACTGGCCCCCTGCAGCAGAAGCTAGAATAACTGGAGCCCATGGCTCTCTAGCAAACCCACGTACCTTGAGCAGCATGATATCATGTACCATGGTCTTGCTGTTGTAGGAAGGATGCGGGACAAACTTCACGACAGTGAAGACCTGCACTTGGGCATTTCTCACAGTCTGCCGATGGAGACCCACCAGCACCCTGATGGAACCCTTACGCCTGAGACACAAAAAGAAAGCCTCTCGAGCGTTAGCACCCTCACTGTGGACACCCGGCTATGCCAATGGAAACACCCCATCGGGGAGGCACAAAGCTAAGCCTGCAGTCAGAGGAGCAAGTCGTCTTTTTGGTGGAGCACGTTCCCCCAGCTCTTGACTCATGACCCCAGTGATGCCAGCCCAACCATTGATCCTCCTGTCATGCCCCTGGTGTGCTGAGGGCAGACGGGCTCTGCATGCAGATGCCTCCTATGAGCTAAGGAAGTATCATCTGGGAATGCAGAAGCAGGCACGTTGGCCCAGATTCTTCAAAAGTATTTAGGTGTCTAATTTGCATTAGAAGTTAGGTGCCCAAATACCTTTGAGGGTCAGGGCCATTCAGGCCACTTTGGGTGCTTTGGTTTTGGGGTGCCCACCCCGTGATGCACCCTTGGGCCAGATTCTTCTGAGAGAGGCTGAGCGCCCACAACTCCACTGGGCGTCGTGGGAGCTGGAGGCTCTCAACCGCCTCTGAAAATCAGGCCCCACAGACCCCAAATCAGAGGTCCCCTTTGAAAAATGTGGCCTGTCTGGTTCACCCAAGACCACGGAGGAGCTGGAGAAAGAACTCGAGTCCTGGCTCCCTGTCCTGCTCTTGATCCACAAGACCTTCCCTTCCTCTCTAGGGTCCCAGTCTGCCTCCTACAGAAGGCAATGGAAAGATTTCAGTTGCATTCAGTCCCCCCATTTACGCCTCACGACCCTGACCCTGTGCGCCTGCCACGCTGAATGACCTTCAGGGTTCTTAGTTTGCTGCTCTGCTGGTTTGGTGAGATTCCGACAGGTGTTCGGCAAGTAATGGCCCTTTTCCTCCCGGGCTGGCACCAAGGCTTTTCCTCTGGCATTTCTTAAACCCGGGTTTCACTATTTGTCCCTGCAGGAGCAGAGCAACCCCTGCAGAAGGCTGAGCTCACCTAGCAAATCACCAGAACAGCCTGCTCCCCCCGTCCGAGCCAGGAGCCTGCTCCTCCGGCCCTAATCTGCAGGAACCCACCAGCCTGGGGTGGGTTCTGTACTCACGGGTCGACGTAGCAGTGCGCAGCCGTCAGCACCCAGCGCGCGTGGACTAGGGTTCCCCCGCAGGAGGGAATGCCTTTGAGCTGGATAGACACCATGTAGGGCCTGGAGTGAGGCAATGCGACACGTCCCCCAATGATCAAAGACGGGAGCTGGCCTGCTGCAAAGAGAGAAGCAAGACGTGCCCCAGTGCACGGGAACCGGGGAGCAAGGCAGATGCAGGGGACAATTTTCACCCCAAACCCTGGAAAGGGAGGTGTTTTCGAATCCCAGCACTACCATGTTGGAACCGATCCATGTCCCAGCTGCTCCAACTATGCCCTTGGGTATATAAGCCCTGAAGCTGAGAGGTAGCTAGCTCCAGTCCAATGGGCAGGGCATTGGAGTATGAATCAGGAGCCCCGGATTCCCCCCCAGCCATGTTAAACCATCAGTCTATTGACCCATCATGTCCAGAGGCCTGGCTCCCGCAGCTGCTGATACTGGATGTTTCAGAGAAAGGCAAACTCCTTCACCAATGGGGGAACTGAGGCAGAGAGAGAGAGAGAAATGGCTCAGCTGAGCCCACTCAAATTAGGGGCAGTCAGGAATAGAATCCAGCCCTCCGGATTCCCAGCCCGGTGCTCCTATCCACTGGGCCACCCTGCCACTCCCTGGCACCACGTGACCACCCACTCACCAGCCTTCCCAATGGGGAGGAACAGCAGCACCAGGAAGAGCAATTTCCGATCTGCCTTCATGCTGCTGCCACGCTGAGTCGTCTGCAGACGTCGTCGCCCCACTGCTTCTGTCAGGGGGCATTTCCGCTCTTACTTATATACCCCGCTCCTTCCCTGAGCGCATTCGCGTCTCCTCTGCGGCAGTGGGAGAAAGTGCTCTCGGGGGGCGGGTGGTGCAGAGGTGTGAGGTTTGCAGAGCAAAGGACGTGCAGCCAACGTTGTTGCTGTCACACCCACAGCAAGTCTTTCTTCATCGCTTGTGAAAACTTGACGGCGCTGAAAGCAAAGTGTTTCTGCGCCGGGGCTGGGAGATGTTTCAGAGGGAGGAAGACGCTGAGTGCCAACAGCTGAAACATGCCAAGGCTACCGGCAGGGAGAGGAGATGGGCTCACCTTGCTACTGCCACGAAAACAGGAACTCAGTGGTCTAAAGTGAGAGGGTAAAAAGCAAGTCGAATACATTACATGCTTCCTGAACACTCTGGGGCCAGATTCCAATCTTTGTTTGCTCTGTGACATTCTACCCCTCAACACCCCCCCAGCCCCGCACCACATGGCCGAATACCCCAGCCCACGTGCCCTGACAGAAGAGATGTAAACTGCTCCCCTGCAGTTTCCAGCCACTTTTAACTCCCTTTCTATTGCACTCCTCGATCAGGATCACATCTTTAGGCACAAACAGCTGCTGAAACAGGTCCTGGGGCTGGACTAGATTACAAATCTGGAACCATTCCCCTGATCCAGCTAGGGTTGTAGCGTAGCATCCGATTGCCCAACCCCTGTCCCCTTGTCACACCCATGCACCAACTCTCAGCCACTGCACAGCTCTGGACCTTGTCAAGACCAAGAGATACGCCACTACCTTCATTTTCGCAACCACTTACGTGATCGACTGCAACATGCACCTTTGACCTCCTCCCCGGCACCCAGCCCGGGCAAGAAGCTGCGTCAGCGATCGTAGCAGGTGATAAGACAGTGTCTCTCTCCGAGACGTAAACCCAAGGTCGTAACCACCCAATGCTCACTGAGGAGTCTAACTGCAGGGAGCACGACATCCCAATGATCACACTGGGATGGAGCCAACGCCCAGGTGCGAGCAGAGATCTGAAGGAAAGTGCTCAGGCTTTTCAGGTCCACGGTACTTTGCAATTCTGCCACACTCTGCACCATTAGCTAGTGGACAGAACAAGGGGCTGGGTCTCCAGAGACCTAAATTCTATTCCCAGCTCTTCCACTAGCATGCTAGTTGTGTCCTCGGGTAAGTCACTCCCCCTCCCTGTGCCTCAGTTTCCCCATCTACAAGATGGGGATAATGAGACTGGCCTCCTTTGTAAAGTGCTTTGAGATCTGGTGCTGAAAAGCACTAAATAAGGGCTAGGGGTTATTACGACTTCCAATGAAATCACAAACAACTCTTTCCCGCCCCTTCAAAACAGGCAAGCATTGTTGCACACATTTCACAGACGGAAAGAAATTGAGGCACAGGCCTACTTTACACCAGCATTTTAGGGACATCGCCATCTGTTGCTATCCGCACCAGGAACGGCTAGTGCAGACAGGGCTCCAAGGGGCCTGGTGTGAGCTGCATCTGCGTAGCAAAGCATTGGGAGAGGACCAGTTAGTTACCAGGGCAGATACAGCCAACGAAAAGCTTGGTGGGGTTGGGGGTGCCAGGGTCAGAGCTGAGAATAAAGCTCATTATTGGCTCCCAGCAGGACCTTATCTTATCCCTACCCAGCCCCTCTCCATTAAAGAGCTTGTAACAAAGACTCAGCCGTTCAGTTTTCTGAGGAATGGATTTTAATAAGAGCTTATTAAATAATGAGATTTAGGAAACCTGGAGCCGTGGCTCACATTCCATATCGACTCCCACTGCATTTTAATAGCAAACTCCCACTAGCAACCATTTTATTTTCTAAGTATTCTCACGGGGGTCGAGTCTAGGCGCAAAGCCAAGCAGATTAGTTCACCGCCAGCACCGCACCGGGGCCCACAGCAAACCCCGGATGCCAAATGGACAGGGCAAGACACAGCGCCTCACTCCTGGCAGGAATCAACCAAAGCCAAGTCCACCAGGCTCAGTTTCTCCCAGTTGCTATCGGCTGACTCTGCTTTTGGTGCTGGCCGCTTTGGAGGGGCGCACAGCCCTCGCTCGGCCAGCTGCAGGCCTGATGCTCTTCAAGCTCTCCAGCAGCCTCCGCTCGAAGAATTTGTTTCTGTATTCGAGTTCGTTAAGATGCCTTAAAACCAGAGGCACCTGCTCTTTCTCCACGTCCACGTAAACCGGGATCATCTTCGTCCCCTCCCGCTCCATCACATGATGCAGGTTCCACTCCACGACGCGCTGACACCAGGGGTCGTCCAGCGAGCTGGCCGACAAGATGACGATAGCGACCCTGCTGGCCTGGATGACCTCAGTGGCCGTCATAAGAATGGACGTCCCTGCCACCTGGTCCTGGTGCTCGGCATAGCCCTGGAGGCCTTGCTTTTTCAGCATCATGGAGATGTAGGAAGCAATATTGTCGTCATGGAGGCAATACCAGATGGAGAAGTCGTAGGTAAACCTGGAGGGCGAGGGGGACGTCATGCCAACAGTCACTATGGGCACCTGAGACAGTGACACGCAGCTTACGAAAAGTCAATGGCTGCCTGGAGCCCACGCTTACCCCAGCCAGATCAGGTTCAAGCTTGCCATTTGGAAACTGGTATCAAGTTCTCCTAATGGCTCAACAAGACGCCTGGTCCAAGAGTCCCTTCCGAACACGAGCAACAAGATCAGGGCCGCCCACTGGGAAAAGGCTACGGAGGCAGATCCTGTAGCATTTTTAGCTTTAAAGATGAAACCCACCCTCACATACCCCCTAGCCTTTCCAGTGAGCACGAGGGGCAACTCTTGTGAAGCTGCATTCATGAGGCTTGGCTGGTTCTTGGCGATTCCAGGCAACATGCAGCAGTGACAGATCTTCCATTAAATCAAAGCACACACCGGGGTTATCTGGCTGGGTGGCTTTCTGGCCCTATGATTTGGATACAGAAACAAGAAGCCACACTGGGGATGTCTGTGAAAGTCTAACACACACTGAGAAGTTTGTCAGGACTAGGAGGCGGGGCTTTTTTACAGTTGAGAGCAGACCCTCCTAGGCCAGCTTTTTGTCTCTGCTCCCAATCTCTCGGCATTCCAGAGAGGCCAGACAACCTCACAAGGCCTTTTCCTTAATTTCCACAATATTCTGTTCCAAAGTCGCACCCGCCTGCTTCAGCTCTATGCACTTCTCCTTCAGCACACTGCAGGCCTTCTGCAGCCGCTGGTTCATCTCTACATAAGAATGACTCTGCTGGTACAGGCGCTCGGTCTTCACTTCAGAATCCTCCTTCTTCCTAGGGGCTGGCAAGTCTGGGGAGGGGAAATGTGGGAGGAAAAGACAGAGAATAACATGCATTCAAAAGGGGCAGTCGCTTCATGTAAAGCTAAGTTACATTTCAGATCAGATACACCTTCAGGTCTCGATAGAAAACTAGGCATCCCCTATCTATCAAGTGGAATGGAGGAAGCACCACTCTGCATATTTGTTACCTACAACAAGAGCGATACTTGTTCCAGTGCTCCGAGCAGAGGATTAGAAGCCAGGACTCCTTGGATCTATACCCAGCTCTTGCCACTAACACCACGTGAATGCAGATAAGTTGCTTCACCCTCTCGAAGGGGGATATAATACTCATCCTAGATCAATGCAGCCATAAAGCTTCCCCCTTTTACAGTCTCTTCCCTGTGGCCCATAATCTCCCACTGATGGTCCACCCCAAACCCCAGTAAGCAGAACCCACCTCCCAGTGCTACTGCCCTGGCAACAATTTCCCAAAGGAAGAGAGTTTGCTGATAAGGTGCAATAATGAAAACGGAATTAAGATCGTTCATTTTGAAGCTTGGGTTTAGTTTTCTGGGCTCCTCTGATCAAAACTGTTGTGATTTGTGTTGCCTTGTTCCACTACACGTTCATTCACATTAGGTCTCACACAAGCCTTTTACACTTCTGCACCTGGAATACATCAGTTTTCCCTGAGTGTGTTTAGTTCTGATGAAACTAACAGTTATACAGGCCAAAGACCTATTTATAGCCTCTAAACTGCACAGGTAGCGCCAGGGGATGTTTCCCTGCCGTGCTCTGACCAACGCGCCTTACTTACAAAGAGGGGAGGACACCTGTAAAGGTGAAAGGGAAGGTCAGTCTCCAGGCCCCGTGAAGTCTGTGGCTTCCCTGAAGAAATTGTCAACAAGAGCACCAATCACAGCTGTGGATTTTGGGCTATAAAGAGGTGTCCTCCAAGAACAGGACCGAGACCAGCAACTCATATCACCCAAGCCAACAAACTGGCAAGATGGCAGCAACTTTCAGGGCCAATCTGTGCAATGCTCGCTGATGAAGATTTTATAATTGATAGGTAGGATTGGAGTGGACAGAGACAGGCTCCCATCGTTTGGAAGATTTCATACAGAATGGATCATGGAGATTCCCGGGGCAAAGAGCTGGGATGCATTCTCCTACCTTTATTGGACTCTGCTATAAGGACAAACATGGGATCGGATGGCTGGGTGTTCCTGACGTCCTCGAGGATCTGTTCCACAGTGGGTGGTTCAGGCCGAGTCGGCAGAACCACCCGCTTCTTGCCTTTCGAGCTCATAACTCTCCCGCCTCATAAACGGGCATCCTGGAATGGGCATGAAGAGACTAAGGAGTCAGTGACTTTCCTGCCTGCTGAGATAATGCTGCTGCTACCCCCCCCCCCCCCGACTGGATATACACCCTTTATCCCTTCCCCCCAACTCACACTGTATATCCCATACCCCTATTCCTATATCCCCGCGCGTACCACATACCCCTCTCCACCACGCCCACCCCCCATACCATATACCCCCCTCCCCATGTCCATCTCCCCATACCGTATACCCCCCCATTCCATATACCCCCTCCCCACACCCACCCCCCCATACCATATACACCCCCTCTCCATACCCCACCCCCACCCCCCATTCCATATACCCCCCCATGCCCACCCCCTCCCCACACCGCCCCACTCCCCACGCCCACCCCATTCTGTATACCTCCCTCCCCATGTCCATCTCCCCATACCGTATACCCCCCCATTCCATATACCCCCTCCCCACACCCACCCCCCCATAGCGTATACACCCCCTCTCCATACCCCACCGCTCCCCACGCCCAGCCCCCATTCCATATACCCCCCCACTCCCCCGTACCATATACCCCCCATGCCCACCTCCCATTCCATATACCCCCTCCCCACACCACCCCCCCCACTCCACCCCCCCCCCCATACCCATCCCCCACCCCCCCATTCCATACCCCCTCCCCACACCCCCACCCCCACACCCCCATTCCATATACCCCCTCCCCACACCACCCCCCCCCACGCCCACCCCATTCTGTATACCCCCCTCCCCACCCACCCCCCCATACCGTATACCCCCCATTCCATATACCCCCTCCCCCACACCCACCCCCCCATACCGTATACACCCCCTCTCCATACCCCACCGCTCCCCATGTCCACCCCCCCATTCCATATACCCCCCTCCCCCATACCCCCGCTCCCCACGCCTATCCCCCCATTCCGTATACCCGCCCCCCCGAACTGACGCACCCACCCAGACGTTCACCTGATGGCGGCTCCCGGACTCCGTCCCCACCCCGGCCACCGTACGCCCAGCCCCACTCAGCGGCAGGCCCCACTTCCGGTTCCGCCCCCGCCACGTCATTGGCGTCCCGCGCTGCGTGCTCCGCCCCGCCCCTCCCTTAAAGGGGCCGCGCTCGCGCCTGTTGCTGACGCCCGGGGGCAACCGTGACCGTGACCCGGGGGCTGCGGGGGGGGGGGGGAGAAGATCCGAGGGGGGCGGGGCGAAGCGTGACTCAGCCCCAGCCCCTGAGACCCCGCCCCCCCTCCACATCTGGAGCGGGAGGCCACCCCAGCCTGAGATCCCCACATCCCCGGGGCCGCGCCCCTCGGCCCCAGGGCGAGCAGTGCCCGGGCGGAGATGAGCACAGCTGCCCTTGGCGGCGCGGGGCCATAGGGGTGTGAGATGTGGGACCCCAGCCGGAGCGGGTCGGACAAGGCGAGGGGCCGGCGGGGCTGGGCCCAGCCGCCGTGGGCCGGCCTTGGGGCACCGTGTTTACCCTGGGGGGGCCCAGAGGACTAGGGGGGGGGATAGGTGCCGCCCCGAGCTCCTGAGGGGGTCAGCTCCTGTGAAAGGCATCCAGTGCAGGGGTGGGGAGGACGGGGGGCCACTGACGGCCCCTGGCCCGCAGGCGTTTTTAGAGAGGCAGCTTTCAGCCCCGGGCGACCGGGTGTCCGCTTTTGACCCACCGTTTAGGGCAGCTGGCGGAGAGGCGCGGCAAGCGGAGCGGGCCGGAGCGGAGGCCCACAGGGGCACGGCCAGCGGGGCAATGAGCGAGTACCCAGCAGTGCGTGTAAGGTGCCTCCTTTTACCCTCCCACCCACGCCCACACCCACACCCACGGCGGCGAACGCTGTCGCTTAACCTCTGAACTCGGGGGCTGCACTGGCCAAGGGCAGCAACTGTGAGTGGGGTGCAGAGAAGGGTCGGGCACGTTAAAGGGACTTTTGGGTTGCTGGACTTAAGACCCAGAGGGGGGAAAGGACACTGCCCAACTTACTTGGGGGTGGGTCTTTGGCTCACCGTTTGTGTTCATGAACCCTAGTCGTGGTGTTTCCCCCAGTCAATGCTGGGTTACTTCCCTCCTTTTATTAAAAGTTTTTGCTACACTCAGGCGCCCAGAGGGTGGTGTGTAATTGGCCCTAGGGGGTGGGCTTGAGCTGGTTTTATGTTGTATTGTTGAAAAGGAGCCACTAGATACTGAACCCGGCCCTTGGTGCTGCTGGCTCCACCTGGCAGAAGGGTTACGTTTTTTGCAAGAAGAAAAGGAGGACTTGTGGCACCTTAGAGCCTAACCAATTTATTTGAGCATGAGCTTTCGTGAGCCACAGCGGCTCACGAAAGCTCATGCTCAAATAAATTGGTTAGTCTCTAAGGTGCCACAAGTACTCCTTTTCTTTTTGCGAATACAGACTAACACGGCTGTTCCTCTGAAACCTGTTTTTTGCAAGCAATCCCATCATGCCGAGCACCTAGGCGGGGGCGGTGTCTATGCAAACGAGATCAGCTTCTGATGTCTTTTTCCACAGCTCACCACTAGATATCAGGGGGAGAGCTCATTCAGCCCCTGCTTGCACAAATAGGCCTGTAGCTCATTCAATATCACCCCCTGGGGGTTGGAGTAGGGATACCCACTTGCAGATTTCCTATAGGGGCTCTCGGTTTATGGGGCCACCTTTACTGTGCAGCGAAAAGGTTGTTTATCTCAAGTGCTTGAGATTCAGTCACTCATGAAATCCTCTCACCTGTCCCAACCTCAGCATATACAGCACAGCAAAATCTCTAGTAGCACCTGCAGCGGCCCTATGAACTGGGTGACTGCTGGGCAGGTGGGTAAGACTGGTAGCTCGTCGATACAAGAAGTGGCATGTCCTGTTATGTCGAAACGGCAAGTCCTCAGCTGGCACCCAGGAAGCAGCAGCAAGAGCTGCCAAGGTTGAAGTAGCAGTAACTCCTGTATGGGGTCACTTATGCTTCTGGTTGAATCAGCAGTAACTCACTGACTTTAAGGGGAGTTACATCCACATTGATCTGAATTTGCTCCATTCCTAAATTGTTACCCTCAAATTACTTTTGCTGCCCAGGTGAAGCAAGCAGATGGCACTCCAGGGACAGAATACCAGTGTCCAATCTCCCTTCTCTGTCTCATGCAGGAGGACCCCCAGGGTAGGATTGAGGTGCAGTGGCAGAATGGGGCATCGGTGGTGCTCTGTAGCTCTTCCTCTAAACTGGGGAGAGGGGGGCTTTCATTGGTCCTCTGCTTCCCTTCCCCAGGATTCAGAGAGTCTGCGTCAGGAATAAAGCCAAGCATGAAGAGAACAAGCAATGCAAATAAAACCCGTGAACAGAACCGAGTTTGAGTCACATTTATTCGGTTTCAAACAAAATAAATGAATACAAATGAGGGGGGGGGGGGAGAGAATCCCGTTATGAGCAATTTTTTTTTTTTTTTAAATAAAAAAGCAGCCAGTACATGAACTGCTGTACCTTGATGGAGTTACCACTGAGGACAAAGGGAAGCCTGTTGCTCCCTACAGAATTCACAGCTTGTTGAGATTGCCCCCTGCCAGGATCTGATGAAGTAAATTAGAGACATTAACATTTTATTTTCTAAAGAGGAGGGAGATGGTGAATTGCAAGCAGAACGCAGACATGCTAGAGTTCAGGGTCTGAAGTGTGGAGGGAGCAAGGGGCAGCCTAAAATCAGGGTTTTCCAAGCTCAAACAGGATTAAGATTTGGTCCAAGTTAAGTTACAGCTTGTTGGCTTAGTGAAAGATGTCAAAGCTAGCAAAAGCCGGATGCCAAAGCACTGGAAAGCAAACATGCCCTGAAAGCATCCTGCCCACAGCACGCACCCTACTGGAAGACCCTGCCTTGTCCAGTTCTGGAAGTGAACTGCAGAGCCAACACCTAACCAGACTGCCAGGACATGTATGATTGCCAAAGCAGCCTGCTAGGATGGAAGCACAGCTGCAGGCCCGCAGGCTATGGAGTGCGTGCTGCTCACAAGTTGGTGCTAACTTCCCCCTCCCCGCAAAGGCCACCTGTCCCCTATTGCACTGCTGTTGCCTGGGTGAGACCAAAAAACTCCCTAGGGACCCCTTCCTGGAGCTGCACTCAGTGCTGGGATTCGGGCAGAGGCAGACTCTGAACTGGTATGGACGTTCGGTCAGCTGCGTAACCGCTAGCAGGGAAGTGCCAGCAGAGGGTTAAAAAAACGTGAGTCAGCATTTCCAAAGTCACGCAGTACTGCTGCCTTTTTCCTCCTTCAAAAGGATTAAAGATCTGAACGTTTCTGTGGATCGCAGGATCTCCCTGGAGGTAACAGCTTCATGTGCATGTTAATTCCCCACCTCCGCTGCCCCCGTACAGCTCCCTGCAGCCCCCACAGGACACACCGCTGTGGTTCGTTTTATGATCACAAAGCAGAGCAGCAACTTCTGTGGTGTTGCTATTGCTAGCAATTGCAGAAGAGTGAATAGTCTGGAACTCCCTCCCCTTGAAGCCAGGCATGAACATCCTTCTGTGTCAGCCAGCATTGTTCGCAAACCCGTCCCTCTCCCAGCTTTGTTGTTTACCAGAAGCTTGGCCCCTGTCTTCAGAGAGGGGCAGCACAAGGCCGGGGCGTGCGAGGGGAAGAGAAGAGCTGCCTGCTCTAGGGCTGGACCCGAGCCTGCTGAAGTGAAAACTGAACAAGCCAGAGACAGAAAAACAACCTGTGGGATTGACAGCTGAAGAGCCAGTGGCTACAGAACCCACTTCCTTCTCCCTTTTGTGCTGTGGTTTATTGCAAAGTATCCTGCGTTAGGATGACTGTGTAGCCTGGGGGTGGGGGAAACAGGATGGGGGCTTGAAGGCTTTATAGCCGGGAGTTATACTGCATCATGATTCTACACCTAAGCTCAGGCCACAAAAATACTAGAAGGGCGGGTCTCAGGCTAGCTCCAGGGGCCTGCCTCCCCCTCCAATCTGTGCTCTACCTCATAAAACACGATTGGGGAAAATGCACCAGCAGCCCCTGTGATCTAGTGCAGAGCTGACAGCCTTCCTGCAGAATAAAGGCTGCCTGCAAAACAGGAACTACCAAATTGTCTCTCTATTTGAGATCAGAAGGTCCCACCGTGCCTAGGTGCTGACTCCCAGCAAGTGCCTGGCCATAATTTTAGATCTGCTGGAGCTCTTTAAGTTTGGGGAGATCTGGAAGGTGTACTTCTTAGACAGCTTAGAGCCAGTTGCTTGCTGTTGCTACTGGCCAGTGTGGTTTCAGAGTGGGAAGGGGAATCACTGGTTTATTGACGGGTGCCCGTGGGTTACTTCAAGCCTTTGGTTTAGGGAGTTGTATTGGGAAACTCAGAACAGCCGGCGCCTTGGAGCTCTGTCCTCACTTGGTCTTGTCAGATTCTAGACCAAGGTGCACTGCTGCTTTGGATGCTACAAGGAGGAAAATAAAGGCAATTAGCACATTGGTCACCTGTCACTGGACCTCTGAGTGATCGAATGATCCCTATAATCTCTGCCCCCACCCTCCTAGAGTAAGGGAAGTATTGAATCCATTTTACAGACCGGTCAGTGGAGGCACAGAGAAGTGACTTGCTCACGGTCATGGAGGACATCCATGGCAGAGCCAGCAATAGAGAGTCGAGGAGCGCTGCCTCCGGCTTGTGCTCGAATCACCAGACAACATTCCTTCCCTGAGCCAGGAATAAAACCCAGCTTGTTGAGCACTGCTCTAACCACTGGACTCCCCTTTATCCTACACCCTATTCCCTGGGTATTAGACCCCCCAAAACCTCTGCTATTCCAGTGTGGCAATGTCTTCTCTTCTCTTTGCTTATGTCCTGTCTCTGGTTAAGAAGTCTGCTGCTATCACGCTTAGGCAAAACACTCGGCATGAACAGGAGGCAGACAAAAAGCCTTGCCCGGGCACAGAGGTACCCTTGTGTGCAAGCTTGTGAACTTCTTGGCAGAGCTCCTACCTAATCCACTTTAGGAGCAGCTAGAGCCCTAGTAATCCAGCTATAACACCACAAACCACTGCATCAGCTTTCCAGGGTGTTAAAGCTAGGTACTCCAGACCAGACAGCCCATAGCCAGATTCTCCTCTTTCAGAGCACTTAAGACCCTGAGGGGGAGAAAGGACACTGCCCAGCTTACTTGGGGGGGGGGAGGGGGAGGCTTGGCATGCAGCCAGGGGCCCAGGGGCTGGTTAGGCAGAGGTACAGTAGAACCTCAGAGTTACAAACACCTCGGGAACGGAGGTTTGTAACTGAGCAAAACGTTACGGTTGTTCTTTCAAAAATTTACAACTGAACATTGATTTACTACAGCTTTGACACTTTACACTGCAGAAGAAAAATACAGCCCCGCCCCGCCCCTGCCCCTTTTCCCCAGTAGCTTACATTTAAACACAGTAGGGAATCATAGAATATCAGAGTTGGAAGGGACCTCAGGAGATCATCTAGTCCAACCCCCTGCTCAAAGCAGGCACAATCCCCAATTTTTTTTTTTTTTTGCCCCAGATCCCTAAATGGCCCCCTCAGGGATTGAACTCACAACCGTGGGTTTAGCAGGCCAATGCTCAAACCACTGAGCTAAAAAATAAATACTGTATTTGCTTTTTTGTGTGTCTTTGCTGCTGCCTGATTGTGTACTTCCGGTTCCAAACGAGGTGTGGGGTTAACTGGTCAGTTCATAACTCTGGTGTTTGTAACTCTGAGGTTCTACTGTACCTGCAGCAGGGGCCTGGAAACCTGAGCTGTGAAGAATTTGTACCCCACCCCGGCCAACAGCTGCAGGGGTGGAGCCGTGCCCCTCCCAAAGGGAACTGGAATGGCAATCTAAAGCACCAGCTAGGTCCCATTGTCACCTGAGGCTTTACACACTCCATTCCTCCTGCTTTCAAAGTTAACCCTCTGTCTGCCCCGGGTAGGTTCCTATCCAGGCATCCATACCTACCACACACTATAGTAACTGGGCACCTCTCAGGGGTGTCTACGCTGCAGTTAAAGACCAGCACCTGGCCTGTGTCAGCTGACTCGGGCTATGGGGCTGTTTAAATGCAAAGTAGACATTCAGGCTAGAGCCTGGGCTCTGGTAGCCTGCAAAGGGGGAAGGTCCCAGAGCCCGGGCTCCAGCCCAAGCCAGCTGACACAGCCCAGCCGCAGTTGTTTAACTGCAGCGTAACGAACCCCAAGTGATTTTCCCCTGTGGTCTCTGAAGGGGACCAAGGGGGCTTCCCAGCCAGGAACTGCACCTTTCAGCTGGAAGGTGAAACAGGGGCTGGGACTGATGCCCCCTGAGAATGCTCACACTAGGGAGTGCTACGTTAGCAGAGCTATTTGCGTTGCTGGAACGGAGTATGCCATGTAATCCACTTCTGGCTAATGCGATTGATGGGTTTAATGTGTCAAGAGGGGCAGCTGGGAACTCCCGGCCCTGTAATTCCACACACAGGCAGCTGGGGTCAGTTCAAGGGATGAGGGGTAGGGGATGCTCCCTCTTGGGCGAGTTTCTGTGGCTCAGCCGTCCAAGGGGTGGTTTTTCCTTTGCCCCGTCCTCAGGTCAGATAGGAAATTGCAGAGCCTCCACTCTCCCTCCCCCACAGGGTCACCCCATGATGCAGCCACTGTCTTGGACTTCAGTACCCATCATATGATGCCTGTTGGGAGTGGGGAAGCCCCTGTTCCCCATAAGCAGCAGGGCATTGCAGACAGCGCCCCAAGTGCTGGCGGGCTCAGGGAGAAACAGCCAGACCTTTCTGAGCAACCCACTCCCACCAGGGGAGAAACCACGTCAGCACTGTTCCCTCCAGCTGGCCTGCTGCGGTCATCCCTACCCCAGGCCATTGGATTTCACCTCCCACACCGACAAGTCTCTTGTGGGGCCCTGGAATGTAACCCCACCCCCAAAATGGCGGTCTCCTACTTGGCACTTCTCCACCAACCAAGACACCGGGCTGGGTCTGAGCTGTATTGAAATAGCACTCTGAGGAGTTAACAACCAAATTACCCAGGGATCTGGGGCAGGTGCTACCCAGGAGAAAGAGAGACACCAAACCCCACCCACAAGTATCTACCACCAAGGCATGTATGTGAATGACACGAACACCACAGTAATAAGCAAAGAGAAGACAGACTACAGTGCACCTTCTAGACGGGGGAGAGTTGGGGGGGGGGGGGTTAAGCTACTGGAGGCCAGGGGGTGCTGGCATTTAGAGGACAGAGACTGTTCTCCACAAGGGAAGGAAGAGAAAGGAGAGTTTAGCATGACCCCCCAGTGAGGAGATTTTCCTCCAGCATCACCAGCTTCCTCAAGAAACCACAGGGGTTTTCCATCCAAGTAGGTTTATAAAGGACCAGCAGGACAGCCCCATCACTGACTCCTGTTGGAAAAATAAGATCTCCACGGTCATGCAAATCTGCATAAGTTACCCATAATGCTCTGGGCTGCAATTGCATGTCACAAGGTTGCTGCTTTCTGGAGCGAAGCATACTCAAGTTACGTTTTTAGGGTTAGCAACACCTGTGGTGTTTGTATAGCGGCAACCTGTCAATCCACGTGCTTTCTAATTGCAGGACCTTTAAGAGCGGCCAGTGAGAAGAGAGCACAAGTTTGACCCAGCACCTTCCTCCAGATGTTTTGCACAAACTCAGCACCGCCTTGACAGCTGCAAAGACTGTTGCCACCTCCACTGGCCCCCAGAGCAGATGGAGCCCTGGCAGAACTTGGCTTCCTGACCCTGCTACCACCAGTGTACCTCAACCCCGCTCCTGAGCGACCCTAGTTTGGGGTCAAAGGGGGAGGTTCCTTTCCCAGTGCTCATTTAATCCTTGGCATGTCTGCCAAGGCTGCCAGCCGGAGGGCCAATACAGTGGGCGGTGTTTGTAATGAGCACAATGCAGGAATCACTGGGTGACACTCTAGGGCCTGTGTTATGCTGGGGATCAGATTAGTTTGGCAACAGCCCCTCTGACTTTAAAAATCTAGGTGGGGGGCGGGGGGAGGGAAATCCACTGGCAACTAGATAGCGGCCACCAAAATAAAAAGGCCCCTGAAGACACATGTTTTGGTCCTTGCTGATCTTCGGCTGGATTTGAACCAGCCATTGGAGGGGCTCGAGAGCCAACTAACAAGTCCCTGAACCATCACTGCCACTGCACCCCTCCCCCTGACCCCCAAATTCTAGCAGCCATTGGGACAGGAGATAAAGCAGCATCTTCAACCAAGAACATGCTCAGGGGCTTTGCTCCAAACAGCACCAAGATTTGAACTGGCTGCCTTTAAAACCCAAGAGCAAGTGTCCTGGTCCAGCCCGTACTGACGTGTGGGGGGGAAGTCGTGCTAAACTGGCCTTTGCCCTACGGATGACCGACATGAGTTATTACATACAGACAAGCTGAGCTGTGGCCCCCTCGGACACCAGACGGGCTCTGCTGTTGGCCAGCGCATGGAGAACTGTGCAGAGAGGCACAAGGGAAGAGAGAGAAAACAGAGAAGAGGCAAGAGATTACGAGCCGATTTGTATCGCTGCAGAGAGGAGACAGGGCTCTGTCTGGACACAAAGTTACGGAACGAGAGAAGGGTGGAGAGAGAGCGCATGTTCCTGCAGCGACACCGACGGGATGGTCTAGTCTTGAACGAGGGCCTGTGCTGCTCTAGCAGGGGGCAAACAGCCCTCTGAAAATACTCCCAGCTTAGAGGGTCTCCCTCGCCGGGGTAAGGGCCCTGCTCCCAGTCCAGGGGCAGATTAGAGGTATGGCTAGAGTACCTTGTATGACAGCTAATCTCTGCTTCCCAGGACACACACGAGGCCATGGGAAGCAATGCCAAAATTAGAGCAGCCCTGAGACAGCTCTAACTTACACCCCGACCTGGGAGGGCCCTGCCCTGGACTACAAGGAGAACAAAAGGTGGTTTAACGCCCCTCCCCACATTGCTGCCCCAAGCACAGGAACGGGGTAACTGAGAACACAGGCCAGAACAGAGAGAGGGAACAGGACACGGTACCTTCTCTGGTGACTGTCGAAGCAGTGTCGAGCGCCTTGCCACTCAGGTCACTGAGCACGTGATCTACTGTCTGGTGGTGCTTCAGGAAGCAGGGCCGGATGACATTTTGGTACAACACCTGGGAGCCATTCCAGGAGATGGGTGCCATGCACCAGACCAGGAACAGGCACTGCAGGGAAGGAGACACTTCACTCCAGGTTTGGAAGAGACCCAGAGGTCAGATAGCAAGACACAAACCATCCCAATGCATCAGCTATAAAGGACAGAATTGGCCACGGGTGACGTCAGAAGGACAAACCCTCAGTGAGGAGCATTCAGCTGGACGAGGAGGGGAAAGCAGCCAAGAGACTCCAGCTAGACCTGAACAAACTATTTGGTCTGTTTTGGTTCACACGTGCGTCAGTTCAAGTTTTAGGTGGGCTCAGGCCCAGTTAGGTGAAGAATCACCTCCAAGAGGAGCCAGCGAGTTTTATCCGAGCCTGGCTCTGCTCAGCGACCACTGGTACCATGGTGGGCTTCCACGGCTATTGTCTAAAACCCATTGAACTTGATGGGAGTCTCTGCCAACTTCAATGAGCTTTGGGCTGGACTCTCTGCCTAGAAACAGCAACCCTCTAGACACCCACGACGGATAGAAATGCCAGGCTAGAGTCATCCCTGGTATTAACTTCCAGTTACACCAAAGAGAGATTGGCCCCAAGCCTGTAGTGCTACTAATTGGTCAACTTCACATTAACCTAAGGTTTTTATCTCCAGAAGATGGCTCATGGAGGGAGAAATAGGACAGAAGCCGACCTCTGTCATCCCCCCCGTCCCGTCCCGTCCCCCCCGGTTACCTTTCCAGCATAGTAAAACGGGAACCAGTAGAGGAAGGTGTCTGAAAAAAACTCTGCCACACTGAAGACTCCATATACCACCCAGTACGTGAGCCACATGGTGTCATCGTCCTTGTTGGTGCTTTCAATGGCTTTGATGCTACGGGCAGAAAGAGGACAGGTCAGTTCTACCTTCTACACTGCTTAGGTGCGTTAAAGACAGGCATGTTAAGGCTGAGATTTTCAGAGCTTACTAAACAAGTCGGGAGGGTCAGTTTTGGGTGCCCCCCAGAGGCTTTGCTGAGCATTCACTGTCTGAAGAACATACCCCTTTAAGGGAGCCTCAAGTTGAGCACACCCCAAAAAAAAACCACAGTAATTTTTTTTTTTATCATCTTGGTCAAAAAACCCAATGGAGACTAAACTTGGGACTCAAAGAACATCGTGGGATGTTCTCCCTGGTCGAGGAGTATTTAGCATTTCATACGCAAAGGGCAGATACTGATCGTTTTAGCATTTTTGTGGGGCCCAGCTGCAGCTTAATACTAATTCCTGTAGCCACTCAGAGGGCTCCGCGCGGCGACGTTGGAGGTGAACACAACATGGTGCGTTCTGCCGGGTGCCTCCCCCCAGAGAGAAGTTCTCAGGGGTGAAACGAACACCCCTGCCCTCCACCCCCATGTAAAGCCAGGGAAGTGCAGTGCTAAGCAGAGTGCAGACTGCTGGCACTTACGAGACGTAGGCTGGGTAGACAAAGCCAATGAGGTTACACAGCAGCGAGGCGCCATATCCAAACAGGAGGTACAGCCCCAGGAACGCGATGGTACCTGGCCAGGAAAGGAGACAGGAAGAGTCACATTCTCCAGGGCTGAGATTCGTGCTAGCGTGCGACTGCCATTAGTCAGCTATGTCCCAAACAAAGTTGTAATTGGAGAAACCCCCTCAGCATGGTGGTGTCAGATCTATTTTGTTGGTAGTCAGATGGCCAGTCTGGGTGTGTGGCCACCGGACAAGCTCACTCCTAGGTTGGGTTTACTCCCGTCTGCCGATACCATCTTCCTTATTTCCTTTAACCTGTCGTTTGCACAGGGCCGGCCTGGAGGCTCCCCTTTGATTCAATCCTGCCTCCAACGGCAGAAATCAGGCAGGGTCACTTGCTTGAAGGCATTTAACAGGCGTTTTGCCACGTAGGACTCTGGGAGCTCGTGATGCCAAGGGTCAGAGGGCACAGGGGGTAAACAGAGTTTTACAGGAATGCCCGGGGCAATTCTAGGCATATCAAGTCACTGAAGGAGCGGATGTGAGGTCTCAGAGGCAAGCCAGTAGCACACTGGTCAGCATAACCATGCCACGTTGTAGGCGAGGATATTTATGAAGTTTTGTACCCAGACTGGAAATTATATTCTTAAGGTCAGAGTTAAAGACGGCCGCCAGGAGGTGACAAACATGGCCCTATCAGACAGGCAGAAAACCCATATCTACTCGTCTGGTTATATGCAAAGGATTGTATACTTCACCACAGACCCTTGTGTGTGCGCTGAGCCCCCAGCAAAAGTGAACAAGAGCCTGCAAAATCTCCAGCAAGGAATACACAGCAGGAGGGTGACTAAAGACCAAAGGACTCTTGATATACCTGTGGGCTATAAAGGGACACCCCGGTATCTTTCACCGAGGAAGTAAGCAAGCCCATAGTTCACTTCATGAACAGAAGAGCACCGCCAGGCTTGGCTGTGCTGCACAGAGAATTTGGGGCAAGCTTTGGCTCTCATGACACCATAGTGGCCTGTTAAGTTGACGCTCTAGGACCTGGGTTATGATTTTATTTGATGTGTAACCTTCTCTTTCCAGGTTTCACAGTAGCAGCCGTGTTAGTCTGTATTCGCAAAAAGAAAAGGAGGACTTGTGGTACCTTAGAGACTAACCAATTTATTTGAGCATAAGCTTTTGTGAGCTACAGCTCACTTCATCGGATGCATTCAGTGGAAAATACAACGGGGAGATTTATATACATAGAGAACATGAAACAATGGGTGTTACCATGCAGACTGTAACGAGACTGATCACTTAAGGGGAGCTATTACCAGCAGGATGCGGGAAACCTTTTGTAGTGATAATCAAAGAGGGCCATTTCCAGCAGTTGACAAGAACGTCTGAGGAACGGTGGGGGTGGGGTGGGGGGAATAAACATGGGGAAATACTTTACTTTGTGTAATGACCCATCCACTCCCAGTCTCTATTCAAGCCTAAGTTAATTGTATCCAGTTTGCAAAATTAATTCCAATTCAACAGTCTCTCCTCGGAGTCTGTTTCTGAAGTTTTTTTGTTGAAGAATTGCAACTTTTAGGTCTGTAATTGAGTGACCAAAGAGATTGAAGTGTTCTCCAACTGGTTTTTGGATGTTATAATTCTTGACGTCTGATTCGTGTCCATTTATTCTTTTAATGTAGAGACTGTCCAGTTTGACCAATGTACATGGCAGAGGGGCATTGCTGGCACATGATGGCATAGATCACATTGGTGGATGTGCAGGTGAACGAGCCTCTGATAGTGTGGCTGATGTGATTAGGCCCTGTGATGGTGTCCCCTGAATAGATATGTGGGCACAGTTGGCAACGGGCTTTGTTGCAAGGATAGGTTCCTGGGTTAGTGGTTCTGTTGTGTGGTTGCCAGTGAGTATTTGCTTCAGGTTGGGGGGCTGTCTGTAGGCACCATTGGAATCTCTGTGCTTTGTAGAAGAAACACACTCGCTTGCTCCATAAACAAATCTAAGTGCTGTGTGTTAAGCGGCGCTGTGCTGGTAAGATGGGGCGGGGTACTGCTCCTTTGGGAGCAGAGGATCTGGAAATGCCAGTGGATCAGTGGCTGGTTGCTCCAGGGAGATGTTCGGAGGTTGGAACATGCCTATTTTGAAGCTGTACAGAGAGAGCAGGGCCGGCAGAAGCCTGGATGGCAGTGCTTGTATTCCCAGAGGTGATGGGGAGCCAACCCATGGTGGGCACCGATGGGGTAGGTGGTAGCAAGGAGCCTCACAACCCTGGGTACCCTGGGGAAGCGTCACACCATGGCAGAGACATTGAGGATACACCTGTGCTGGAGCAGGAAGGTAGCTTCCAGCTGGGGTAGATGTACCCCTGCTAGCTCTGATCAAGCCAGGGAACCAAAAAGAGCAGCGTAGCCATGGCAACGCAAGTAGCAGGATGGGGATAGCCGCCCCAGATATGACCCATCAGAAACCAGAGGGATGTACTTGGGCGGCCACCCAGTCCTGCTGCCCTGGCTACACTGCTATTTTTAGATGTGGGGGGATGTCTGGAAGTTACCCTCAAAGTCTCACTCATTTAAACAGTCACGGCCTAAGACGACTCCCTGCCAACAAGGGGTGGGGGGGGTACAGACTCTGCATGTGACCTTAGGCCAGTCACTTTCTGCCTCAGTTTCCCCATATGTAAAAAAAATGTGGGGAGGTTTGATACCGACCCACTCCATAGAGCAGTCATAAGGCATCAATAGTCAAGGTGCTTTAAGATCCTTTGATGGAAGACACTAGCAAGTGACACAGTGTTATTTACTCCAGCTTGGCTTATTGTGGTTCTCCCAGGAAAGTAAAGCACATCTGTGCAGGAGTCGGAGCTCTCTCAGAGACCACAGAACAAACTCCTCCAGGAACAAGGGGCCATCACAGACCTCTTGATCTTCTGCTCCAAGTGCAAGGCACATTTCTCCACCCTGCCTTCGCCAATACAAGCGAAGCAGCGTGGGCATTGGAAAGAGACACTAAACCTTAACACTGCACACCACACACAATTCTCCCCCAGCCGAGAGAACAAGCCACACGTGATGGATGCCAGCTCTATCGCTTAACGCACAAATGGAAGACGCTCAGATACCGTGGTGATGAAGGCAAGATACGAACCAACGTATAACAAAGATTTGGTCAGCCCAGCGAGAGAACGTCCAAAGATTCCTTTAACGATCCTCAGGAGCTGTGGTACTTTGCCATTTTCCTTCGCTGAAATTCCTGTTGCGCAAGATACTATTGGCATTTGGAAATAAAACCTTCACAGACCTGGCAAGAACCTTTGATCCCATGGGAGCCTCACGTTCCCGCCTTTCCCCTGAGCTTTGCAAATATTGCTGCAACCTTTGAGCGACAAGCAGGAGTACAGCTGAAACTGGGCAGTGGGGTGTGGGTGGTAGTTCTTCCCATTCCTCAGCAAGGCTCCTGAGGACTCATGGGAGCCAGGGTGGCTTTAAAAAAAAGTTTTGGATAAAATGCTTTGAGGAAAAAAAACCCACACCTATCTAAAGATCGTTTTAATTCAGATATATTCGAGCTATAATGTATCTCATCATGGAATAGAGATTATAAATTCTAGTTCTACAGTATGAGACAAAATATTCATTTAATGTTTAAGAAAAGTTTTGTAAAGGAGTTCTAATAATTCATGGATTAGGGACCCAATCTTATGGGGTTCCAGGGGCTTCTGTATAGACTTAGGTTAATCTATCTACCCAGTGGGGACTTGGTATCTTCCAGACTGAGCACTATCAGAAATGCTTAGTTTTGCAGTTCTCAAACTGTGGATTTGTGTCTCCAGAGATAACATGCTTGTTAACAGCAAAAAAAAAAGGTTGGTTGGTTGTAAATAAATATCTACCTATAGGTGAGAAATAACAGACCTCAACTCTATTGTCCCTCTGCACATTTGTGTACACAGAGTCAATCCCTTACTCTCTCTCTCTCTCTCTCAAAGTGCAAAGTTTCAAAAAGTTCAGTGAACAGAAGATTGTTGGGGGTGGAATAAATCTGGACAAGGAGAAGAAGCCTGGAGATAAATGTGAGAAGGGAGGGACAGGCAGTAGAAACAAAAGAGAAATCGTTTGAGCAGCATATTCCAGAAGTCCTGAGGTCTTTCCGACTGTAGCCTTCATTGCTTTGAGATCAACCCGACCATTCTCTCACTAGAAGGGAAAACCTAGAATGGCAGCAGGCTGTAAAAGAGACCCAGTTTAGGAATAAGAACCATTCAAGAAATATATGTTTGCTAATGTTTTAAAGAAAGTCACACCAGTGACCTGGAGGAAGTCACTTAAACACTTGGATTCAGAGACTGTTGAAGTGATAATCTCACTTTTAACAGCAGTAGCTTCTGCCGGTGTAGAAAGAATATTTTCTTCCTTTGGACTAATTCATTCCAAACTGAGAAATCGTTTGGGACCTGAAGAAGCAGGCAAGCTTGGTTTTCTTTTCCAGATTATGAATAAACAGGAAAATGAAAGTGAAGACGACTGAGTTAGCTGCAGACACCAATATTTTAAGTTTCTCATGTTGACTTGGCTGACATTTGATTTAAATTTTTGTTTTTTAAATATTTCATTTAACTATTTTAGTTAAACAGTTTTAACAAAAACAAACCTGATTTTAAAAAACTTGAATATTTAAAATAAAAAATTCATATGTGTTTGCTGTTGAAGAAAAAATCCAGAACACATAACGTTGTTGTTTTAGTTAAATAAAACAAATATAAATGTCCGGTGATGTTCTCCTCCTAATACAGCATGGCAAGAAAATCCTCCAAATATTAATGATTAACCTGTTGAATTGGAGATATTTATGAAGTCATTGGGAGGTGAACTATCTGCTTCAATTACCTTTGGTAAATGAAATAACCAAACAATCATTCATTTTCTGATATAGCTGTAACACTAATCTGAAAAGTTTTCCAAATAAGTCACTGTTTAAAAATGAAACCTACATCTCTCCTCTGAGTTGTGAAGAATATGTATTAAGGTTATAACAACAAGAATGCACTTTTATTTAGAAATC